GCCGGTGTGCTTGTAAAAGGTGTCACCAGAGCTGGGAAGTTAGAGTGTGCATCCCTTAAGGCAGGGAGCGGAAGGAGGGGAGGAGTGTGAGACAGCTGTCCCCAAGCACTCCCAATGAAGGATGGATTTTAGTGAGGCCTTCTTTGTGTCCTATCAACTTCTCCACAGGGGGCATCTGGAAGGCAGAAAGACAGAGGACCTGTTCTAACCTAGGCTGTCACTGCCTTGAGGCAGTTCATCTGTCAAGGTCTCAGTTTCCTCACTGTGGAAGGCAGTGATGACCCTGTTGGGCACAGGACAGTGTGGATGGCCTGACTGGGCATCCACTAGCCTGGGCACCTGCAAGTGACAGGGAGGGGAGGCCTTGATAGTTCCCATGGGTACCATTGAGTTTAGGTCCATGAACTGCTTGTAAAGACACTGAACCTCATGCCTGGTCCATGATAAAGCCCAAATGTAAAAACAAACTCGTTTTGCTTTGCAATTGTTTTAAAAAATATTATCCTTTAAAAACAGAGACTAGGGCTCCCACATAGTCAACCGCAGTTCAAGTCTCAGACCTGGTAGCTTAAAACTCACACCGGGCGCGTGTGCATTCGTGCCCAAAATCCCAAAAGGAGAATAGAGAAGGGATTATGATGTGGTGATCAGGAGAATGGAGAAGAAGGGATTATGATGTGGTGATTGCCTCAGTGGACGATTTCTCGCTTTCTGTCTCCCAGTGAGTGCACGCACTCTATAGCAAAAATATCTCTCAAAACAAAACAAAAAAAAAAAGGAGACTCACCACACTTGAGTGTTACAGAAGCCTCCTTCCTGTGTGGGTGTCTCTGACACATTCAGAGAGAAACATCAACCCCAAATAACCTCAGTCAACACCAGCTGGTGTGCTTGTAAAAGTTACCAGATCAGCAACCAGGTGGCGGCACAGAAGTCACGCAACTGGACCCACACGGGAGTGTTCCTGGATTTGTGTCCCAAGACCTACGGGAGCATGCTGGGCACACCCACACACATGACTGTGGTCTGGGTTGGCTGAGCCTGGGGGTGGACCGCACTGATAACCCTGTCAGGAATGAGTGTGTGTGTGTATGTGTGTGTGTGTTTCTCTTTCTCTCTCTTTTTTTTTTAATGAAAATCTGGCCCCAGTTGGCCATGTGGGATCCAGCCACCTTAAACACCACACCTCTGGCTAGCCCCAACTTGTAATTCTACACTAAGGTATTATGATCTGTGTTGTTTTAGTATCTGCACATAATTAAATTAATAGATTAGATACGTTTCCACTTTGCCTCCAAGAGATAATGCAGCTTTCTTTAGAGCTACTCTGTCTGAGCTCTATATTCTTATCAGTATGTTGGTCTTTCAAAGGACTGATCTGGGTGAGGAGCTGGAGAGTTTAAAGAGCTGATAGGGGCCAGTAAGTGGCATAGTGGTAAAGGCATTGGACTCTCACAGGGCTGACCATGGTTCGAGTCCTGGACCTAGTGGCTTTCTTTCCTACTCCCCTCTCTGTCTCTTGTCTCTCTCTGGCCAAATTTCAAAAAGAATAATAAATAAAATTAAAGAAATACTTTTTGTTAAAAAAATTAAAAAGAGCTGAGGGGTGTCAGTGCAGTGGGAAACAGGCAAATGGCCCCTGCTCTTGTCCTGCTGTCCTGCCCAAAAAGGCAGGTCTGCAAGAGGACAGGAGGGCCCAGCACCACAGCCCCCGTTCTCCCGGTTCCCGTTGGCCTCCTCTGCTGTGCACTCAGCATCCGCTAGAATGTGCTTGTCTTGCTTTCGCTGTCTCTTCTTTCTGGCATCTTCCCAGCCCCTCCTCTTTCGCCTCTGCCCCCACGACTCCCCACCCCTCAGACACCATTCCTGATAATTATAGTTTATCGATCCTCCTGGTGTGCTGCCCCCGGCACCACGCCATGTTCTTCATCTTAGTCGGGGCGCCTTCCCGTGTTCGTGACAGCCACATTTCTCAGGGGCAAAGTGTTCCCTGTGCTAATCCAGACAGAGCTGCTGCCTGGACCAAGCCCCAGGAAACTCTTAGAGGTGGGCCTGACCCCCTCCTTGACCCATGACCCTCTACCTCCCCCTGAGGCTTTGGAGAAGAGTCTGAGGGCAATTGAGATACTAATCGTAGCAGTCTAGCTGTGTGCCAGGCAAGGCGCAAGTGCTGTTCCCTTTAGGCTCCATGTTCTCCCAGATCCCTTCTGGGGAGGCTACTGGTCAAACGAGGCTCAGAGAGGTGCAAGGCTCGCTTGATATAGCACAGCTGGGAAGTGCTAGGGCTGCAGGGTCTGGACTCCCAAACTTGCACACGTAGGTCCCCAACAGTTCCCAGAAAGGAGCAAAACCACTAATATATGCTGACCAGATGGTGTGGGATGAAGGAATAATGTCTCAAAATAAATGCTAATATTTTTTGGATTTATTTATTTTTAATTTTATTTATTATCATTATTCTTTCATTTTGATCAGAGAGAGAGACAGAAAGAAAGGGAGTGAGAAAACAAGCTGCCAGGTTCGGGACTTGAACTGTGGTCCATGTGGGAGTCTAGTGCCTCAACCACCACGCCCCTGCTGGCCTCAATGCTTTTTTAATGCTCCCTGAGACTAGTGTGATTAGTAGATACCCCACTCATTGCCCTCCAGTAAGAGAGGATTGCCAGCCTGCGTGAGCCAGTGTCCCAGCTGCTGTGGGAGACCACCCGGCTCCTAAACTGCTTCTTCTCAGCCATAAAGAGGGAGACCACAGAGAGGCCCCTTTCAGCCAAGCACTCAGGGGTTCTGTCTGCTCTTTCCTTTTCCTTCCTTTCCCAAAACATGACCCCAGGCAGAGGGAGTGCTTCCTTGACGAGGCTGCTATTTCCCACTTACCTCGGTCCCTTTCTATCTCCTTTGGGATGGAAGTTCCAACTGTTTAAGCACTTCAGAGCTGAGGAGCAGGGGTGCATGCCTGTGCCCCGTCCAGAGAACCCAGGGATGTGCAGTGACAGGGACAGAGGGCAATCACTCCCAATCTCCACTCACCGCTTACTTTCTTACACAAATAGATAAAGAAAAACGACCCATCTCCTGAAACGATAAACCTGGAGAGAAAGAGAAACTAAGATATTGAGGTGAGAAAGCCCAAAGGAAAGATTCAATGAAACAGGTGGAATCTCAGTCTCTATCGTGTTCTTTCCCATGAGATTTTGCACATAGAAAAAGGCCCCACGGCCAAGCAGGGGTGCCCTCATAGAGATATACAGTGCTCATGGCTCCTTAAAGGTTCTGACAAGTCCTGCAGCCAAGGACATTGCGTCATTGCATAACCCGATTTTGGCCTGTAAGTGTCTGTTTGACAAATGGCCCGTTTACTCCTTTTTCTTTTTCTTTTTAGACATTAGCCATAGGGCATATGCGCTTGCCAGAGAAACAGAGAGGGGGAAAGTGAGAAATCATCCCCTGGGGGGATAGTCATACTGCAATCCCTTCTCCTCCAGTTTCCTTTTGCGATTTTGGGCATGCACACACATGCGCCTGGTGTGATTTTCAAGCCTCCCAGGTCCAGGACTCGAACAGCGTTTGGCCATGTAGGAATTCAGTGTCTTAACCACCATGCCACCTTCCGGCTCCAGCCCATTTGTGCTTAGGATGTTTCCAGACACTCTCTACGCTTTCGGAGCTTCTGGGTTAATGCATGAGGCTGATGTTCTGGACACTCGCAGTTCTCACTGGACTAAGACTTTCTTTGTTAGAGTCTTACTGTTAAGGCCATGAGCTCATAACCTTCTTCACTGTTCCCTGCTCACGCTTCCCAAGAATGAGCCAAGGTCACAGACAAACAGGTAAAGACGAGATGCAGCAGCTAGAACCATGTTGTCATCATCATGGATTTATCAAGGAATGGCTCCCTTGGGTCCAGGGAGAGCTCCAGCCTTGTTCCGAGACAGCCCCTTCGCTCTTGGGCTAGCTGACATTCAGCCGCTCCCTGCTCAATCCCACAAGTGCATGAGGGCAGGAAAGCTTCCAGATGCAGATGAGATAGGACTGTCAGTGTTTCCTCAAGGAGTATCTGCGCAGGAGGATGACAGTCTTAGATTAAAACCTGAAAAACCTTAACATTTTTGACATGACCAGATCATTGAGAACATGTGTAACTCGACCCCTCCC